ACAATAAGCGCATTCATGCAGTGAGCAGCAAAATTACCCATTTAAGCCCAGCCCAAATGAATACTTCAAAGTTACATGGGAAATTTACTATACCTAGCCAGCATGTTTGGTTCCCAATGTAGAAAAGCAGGTGGGTTTTAAGGAAAGGGGAAAAACAGGGCTGGGATACTAGGGGGAGAATTTAGCATGGATGGGGGTATGTGAAAAAACATAATTATAGCCAAAGCTAAGAGCAGAAACATTGGGGAAGTTATGGGATCAATGTGGGGAAAAAGTTGTAGACTAGGAACACCTCATACTATTTCTCTTCCATATTTCCATCTCCTGAAGCTACTGTTCTTATTTTTAAAAAGTGCTATATATTGTTACTCCATTTTCTATAAAGTTCATGCTGGCTAAGGAAACCTTATGTTTGCCTTTCAATTCATTCAGACATCCTATGAAAACTTTTAAATTACTTTAGTGTTGACTTGATTTCAAGTATACTGGAAGTCTGGCACCACCTTGTGGCACATGAGAAGTTCTATGGTTTTAAGGTAAAACAGCAGTAGTTCCTTGGCTCCAGAAATAGGTTTTGTCTATTTTTGTGAGCCACTTGTTCATCAGAAGTCACTCCCCACATACCTCACATAACTGTTGTGCTGTTATGTCCCCAAATAATCTGCTAACAATTCACAAATCAGTTGCTATAGATTTTCCGGGTTGTGTGGCCGTGGTCTTGGCATTGTAGAACCTGACGTTTCGCCAGTAGTTGTGACTGGCATCCTCAGAGGTATAACACAGGAAGATGGAGTACTCTCTGTGTCAAGGTGAGAAGAAAAATGGTAGGCAGGTAATTTATATCTACTCCAGAAGGTGGGGTAGGGCTGAGTCACTATCTTGTAGGAGTTCCCCAGGCTATGAACATGCTAATGGAGGAGCTTTCCTGAGGAGGTTCGTTTGTGTATGGATTGTTTCCTGAGGAGGTTTCCTGTTTCCTGAGGAGGTTCTTTTGTATGTGGATTGGCTGTTAAAATTCTTATCTTACCTGTAGTGCTATTATCAGATGTAGAGCCTTTTGTGTTTTTCAGACAAGAATAAAAGAACATGAAAGACACTGCAGACTTGGCCAACCTGAAAAATCAGCAGTGGCTGAACATAGCCTAACTCAAACAGGACACAGTATTTTGTTCCAAGACACTGAAAGGCTGGACAACACTTCAGTTAGCATGTCAGATTACACAGGGAAGCCATTGAAATTCATAAACAAAAACACAATTTCAACAGGAAATAAGAGAGTTTAAAAATAAATAGGGCATGGTTTCCTGTCCTGAAAAACACAAAACTCTCTTCTTTCCTGTTGAAATTGTCTGAATGCTATGCTGTGTGGTCCTGATGTAAAGGAAATAAGAGAGTTTAAAAATAAATTGGGCATGGATTTCTGTCCTGAAAAACTCAAAAGGATCTACATCTGACAATAGCACTACAAATAAGATTAGAATTTCAACAGCCAATCCACATACAAAAGAACCTCCTCAGGAAACCTATGGAAACAATCCATATACAAAAGAACCTCCTCAGGAAAGCTCCTCCATTAGTATGTTCATAGCCTTGGGAACTCCTACAAGATAATGACTCAGCCCTATCCCACCTTCTGGAGTAGATATAAATTACCTGCCTACCATTTCTCTTCTCACCTTGACACAGAGAGTACTCCATCTTTCTGTATTAAACCTCTGAGGATGCCAGTCACAGCTACGGGCGAAAAGTTAAGTTCTACAATGCCAAGACACGGCCACACAACCTGGAAAATCTACAGCAACTAATGAGCTCCGGCCGTGAAAGTCTTCGACAACATATTAATTCACAAATTATATCAATTTTATGGGAATACGGCTTTTTAGTCAAATTATCTAAACTGCTAGCAACTCATTGTAAGCACAGGTTTCTGTGGACTGTGGTATATAAGAGGAGCTATGTTTTGACTTCTGCTCAATGGAATCCTTATAGATCAGATGTAATTTAAGAAGGCAAGCTGAAGAAATTTGTGTGTCCAATGCATAAATTGCTGCATACCTATACAGTACATTTCTGTTTAAACCCAAAGCAGTTTACAATAATCCATATGAAACAGCAGCCATTAAAGACATGCACCAGGGACAGTTTTAACTAACAATGGCCTGGAATTTAAAAAATAAGCTGATACAAGTAGATCACTAGAGAAGGAACTGTGTGCAGTATAAGAGAAAGTGAGATCTAAAAGGCTGCCGAGAAAGCCCTTCTGTGGGTTCTCACTGGCTGGATTCCTCCAGTGGGATTCCTGAAAAGTGGCTTTCTTGGCTGACCTCAAAAACGCAAGGTCTAGGTGGAAGCAGTCCACCGAGTACACTTTAGAAAAAGGTTCTTGATTAAAAACCAAAATGGAAACAAGTGCCAATGAATTTGTGCAGCATACTAGCTAAGTATAGGACAGATGAATTAAGAAGTGTCTGATTCAGATCTTAGTCACACATGTATTATGTAGTCTTAGTGAAGTCGCTGTTCTCTCAGCTGCAATATGGGAATAATACTACTGACCTGTTGAAAAGAAAACAGTGCATGAGATGAGCACAGAACACTTGAAAAGCACTATATAAACGCAATGGTCTTACTTTGAAGACTGGCATTTTATTAATATATGTCACTCCTGAAATAATGTCCCTTCTTTTCAAATGCTCAAATAGCGTTCCTCTTGCTTTGAGGGTTCTAATAGTAATAAATCATGGTGCCTCCATCAAGGAGGCAGTGGATCAACAAGGCTTTGTGTGTGTGGTCCATGGATAAGATTTCTGTTTATAGACACGTGGACATGAAAATTGTGTTCAGCTTCAGAATTT